ATAGCTCTTCTAACCAAGCCTTCTTTCATAATTATCATTGAAACATAGTGCTCTCAAGCAGTATTTGATTCAGAATTAAATATCCAGAACTATCGACTCTATCGCTGTGACAGAGAAATTAAGTAAGGAGGTAGTTGTTATATACGTTTTGGATACCCTAACAATTAGTAAAGTTGAAGACAGTGCCCTGAATAGTTTACCAAAATCGGTTTGAATATCAATAAACTGCCTGAATTATAGTCTACAGAGCTGCTGAAAGTTTGAATTCTGGTAATGATCTTATTATCAATGCATTTTTCGTGCCTCTAGATAACCCTCGTGCTACTGATAGAAGAAACCAGGCAAGTAGTGAATAGGTCTTTATTTATACCTGAGCGCAGTCACAGTGGAGCGTGGGATGATTTGTTCAGACAAACAAAGCCTCTCAACATTTAGTAAAAGATTATGGGAAATATAACGCCCATACAAACTAAGTGAATGAATACTTGAACAATACTGTTTTGATATATGCTCAGTTGTTTGAGGTGAACTCTTAACCAATCGACCTAGGCTGTTACACATTCATACATGCATCTGATCTAAACTTGAATGCTGAGGTTATCACTGGAGTTTCCAATTATCATTGGATTAACTGGAGTACGGTAGTCGTCAGCAATCATTAACATGCACCGCTGCTAATAGTGGGTTCGCACCCCAACTAGGGGTGATAGTATTGTAGTGGCCCACTTTTATCAACAGAACGCGATCGGTGGAATGGAAAAATTACTATAATAACCAATTGTCTCAGGGATTGTTTTACTGTAATTGTTTGTTTAACTGCACTAAAGACACAAATTCTTCCGTCGACTATGACGATCTTGGTATTCTCTCGATACCACGAGATCGTCAACAAATACATCTCGAATACAGCCCTCAACTGCTTTCTAATATTTGGCCTACGAGTGATCTTATCGGCTAACCGGCACATAGTCTTCCTGGAGTGGCGATCATGGTCAACCGCCACTCGACGCCAGACTACAGTATGCTCAATCTAATATTTAGTAGAGATGTCATACCACCATGCGTAAAAGTATGCAATAAATTTGAAAGCAGTGACCATAAGATTGTAGGTTGTGCTCTCCCTACCTATCCCTCTTATAAAAGATCCATTCATAAACCTGTCAATATAGATACTATAAGCATGCTGACTGGGATTTTCTACGCTCACTGATTAAACTCTCAGACTGGACCAACTTTTTCTCATGTAATATTCTCATGGAAGCCATCGAAAAATTCTATCCGATCGTTAAATCTTGTCTAAATTCCTGTGCACCAATTAAAACGTACAAGTTTAGTAAACCTTACGAATTATATATGCGAGCTATAGCAGAACTTTTCAATGATATTTTTGTAAATGGCGAAGAATTCATAAATGGTGCTGTTTCAAAAGTTATGTGCGTGAGTGGTAACTCAATAAAATCTCTCTCCTTCACGTGTTTGAAGATTAGTTGGGCTATAAATACCCTTAAGCTTTCGAGAGGTCATGGAGCAAAAGGGGTTCCATGCTTTCTCTACAAGTATGGTGGGCTAGATATTCCACTTTTTCTTCTAAAGCTGTTTACTCTCTCTATGGAAACTGGTTCGTACCCTTACTGTTGGAAAACCGCGTACATCGTACCAGGTCACAAATCTGGCGATAAGAACGGCATAAACAATTATCGACTGATAAGTGTTACTCCAGTTATCTCTAGGATTATGGAAAAAATTACCAGTGACGATTTCTATAACTATTTACTCGCTGGAAAATTTATCAATGATACTCGACATGGACTTCTTGAAAATTAATATTGTATAACATGTCACTCAGACGTCTTTGATTTAGTCTATTCTCTACTTAGTCAAGGATATCTAGTCTTAGTGCTATACCTGGACATTTCCAAAGCCTTCGACATTGTTAGCTACCAACTTCTTATAGGTAAACTCGCATTTTATGGGGTTCAATACCTTTTTCTACTTGGTTTGATTCCTTCCTCAGCAACCGACGTCAAATACTTAAAATTAACTCCTCATTGTCTAACGCTGTCCCTGTTAGAAGTGGTGAAATACATGGTAGTGTCATAGGCCCTTTGCACTTTTTAGTGTTTATCAATGATAGTTGTGAAAGATTTGTGTGGGTAAGCCCCTTTTATATGCAGATGATCTTAAGGTATTGTATTCATTTTCTTCACATTAGCCGAACAATGTACGAAATTGCGTCGACATGGTAGCATGGTGGTGCTTAAAATGGCAGTTGGGGCTTAGCACAAAGAAATGTAGGTGGATATACCTTGCTAATGCATCACTCAACTCAGATCTTACCATAAATTGTGAAGTGTTATCTAGGTTACACACAGTAGTAGACTTGGGACTTAAGCAGTCCTAGGACTCGTTTACGGAACAGATATTGAAACGGACATCCAAGTCTCAACGCCTTATAGGCTACATAGTTCGAAACCTTTCTAACAATGAGTCACGTATTTCAATGTACGAAGTTTGTGTTCAACCACTTCTAGAACACTGCAAGTTTATTCTTTGTAGTGCGCACACAAAGGATAAATGAAAGCTGGAATCAGTACTGAGACGATTTACACTTCTTACTCTTGGTTAATAATTCTAGATTTAATAAGCTTGAGCTCGACCCTTTATGGAAGAGAAGACAAAAACTCGATCCTTTTCTTTAAAATAATAAACTATCCTTTTATCAAATCAAGTGATTTAATATGCAGAAAATTCTTAATACGACATTCGTAGCTCCTTGTCAATAGTGAAACATCATTTGAGGACACCCTGGTTTATCGTTAGCGTCCATGATAACTGGGGTTAAAAGCCGATTGTTTAAAGTTCTCGTCAGTAAAACACTGTATTTTGGTGGTCAATAATAACAGCCGCTGTGTTGATTTAATCGTCGTTTCCCATACTCCACCTTTGTGGCTAAATAAGGGCAAGTTGAAATGCCATTGGATTTGCGTAGTTGACAATTCATTAGCCATTCTTTTCTGGTTTCACTGTTGAACAAATTTACTTAGTTCGGAGACTAAACCCCCAAAATTCGGTCAATTGTCACTGTATACTTCAACAGGCTTCCCGCCTTTTTCCATTAAACACAATAATGACATTTTTAAGTGGATCAGTGTTTAGATTATACGTCACTTTAATACATAGCACTCGTGTTTGTAAACAAGTAAATATACATCTATATCTTACTTCCAATGACCTTCCTCTCTTGGCTACAAAAGGTCCAAATTAGTCTACTTCCACGGCTGAAAAGCTATATCAACCTTGCTGCATTCTACAAGCGGTAAGCAACACCAGATCAGATTACAACAGAATTTCACCGGGAGCAAATGTTTCTGTTGAGGTAACGTCTAGTAGGTTTCGCTTATTTCGAGAATCAGTGAGTTGTATATTCTCATTTTCATAGCTCCTTGAATAGTTCTCCTTGTCTCCTACATTGCTCTGGTGAGGAGGTTTGTCGGCTTATGATTTCCACAGAATTTCGGCTTTAACTAAAAGGTCCCATAATTTTTCTAAATGAAGAACCTTCAACTACCAGAGTAGTTTGGTTGGTTTAAATGAACTTTGGGTTTGGTGTTTATTGAGACAAAGTTACCGTCCACTGGGTGTGATTGCTAATCCCATGCCCGACATTTTTCTTTTATCTGGGCCTGGGACCAGCAGTAACAGTAGAAGGGCTACAGGTAGAGTTTTTTCTCGCCTCCAGTTGTGAAAAACTTTGTTATGAGGATCTTATTAATATGGGTGTTTTCAATGATTGGATATGTTATCATTATCCGCGATTTCGAAACATACTTTCCGGATGCAGAAGCAAATAATAACATCACTTGGTTTATTCGATCATTTTATTGTTAACACATGTAGTATAAAGTTCGTCATTTATTTAAAAACTCGGGGTATCAGATTCCAACATTTCTGTATGACCTACTGAATTTCCAGCATTAGAGATTACTGGACAATTCTAGTAGGAAGGAGGTCTATATGGTATTAAGGACAGATGATTGTACTCACTTTGTTGCAGAAGCAATCGCACTGTGGATGAATGGTACAGGGTGCTCTCAGGTACTCTCGTCCTAATGATGGTGAGGAAAATTTCATCAGGACGTAAATAAATGCAGTCGGTTCCATTGCTGTTACAACATTTGGTGAATAGTCACTTAAGTAGGCAGATTCTTCCTGTAGCATACAAGTCCTAAACAGTCTGTGACGAAAGAGGATTCATAAGTCTTTTTTTAAAACCATTCACCATTTAAATATTAGATATGTAGCGTCTGCAGAAGTTACGTATTTTCGTGGAAACAATCTTTGACCAGAAACGGGGACTAAGGTGAAGAATGTCGGAAAGTCTACGGTTTGAATTCTAGATAGCAGTGATTTAAGCACATATAACAGAGATGTTGATGAAGCACTATTTCAAGAACCAGGTAAGTCTGTCCTAATTTCGATCATTAATCCTAATACCAACGAATACGTTCTAAAGAAGGCAGACGTTATAACCAATAAGAAGTCGGACAGAGTCGTGAAATTCTGAATGTTTCGGTAATACTGCAGCACTATTGGCTAGTCTTGATATATTTGCGAAGAACTCCCATTCTTTTCAGAGGTGATGTATAATTACTTTGACCTTTATTCCATCCTGAACTCTTCCTAGTCTTTAGGTAACAGAGTAACCACACTACAGGACGCCCTTTAGGTCTGAGTATCCATATAAAGATAACAATATGATCACTGGGGAAAAACAAAAGTTATTCGTTCGTACCAATGTAGTTACAGCTGGTCGAAATCTCAAGCTGGGAACTTATTCACATTTCAATAGGATGCATCAACTCTAACCATGTAATAGAACTCAACAGTGCGTGGCTTTATTTGGAGTGCTTAACATATTGGTATCCATAACTACATTTAGACATAGATCAAAGTACAGGTATGAGATAATCAAGTAGCAAATTACGATTTCTAGGTCATGGCGCGTATTCCGGATTGGCGTGTTGACTGTCATTCGTGGTTTCTTTGTCACCAGAATGTTATAACGTACTTATGAGAAAAGGGTCCATTCCAGTAACATTTTATGTTAATACTGTGAGATAGTGCAGATAGGTTTAATTAGGAAATAGTGTTGGGAGTTAAGGTCAGGAGTTAGTGTTGTGTCAAGGTAGGGGTCAGGGATAAGGATGAATAGTTAGTCACTTCGTTGCTTAACTCTGTTCAGAGATCAGTCTCTTTAAAAGCCTTATTCGCTTGCAGTATGTGAGTGACAGCTCCTTCTGGTGAAGACTCATCGATTGCGATTAATTAATCTCAATTGATAAGTCTTGAAATAGTTTAAACCATTTCAACATTGGCAAGCCAAATAAGATTGCTTTTTATTCCTCACCCCGCTTGTTTATCCCCGCTGGTTCGAAATAGGTAAAACAGCGTAACAACTAGCATAGGAACCAGTGAAGGTTGATGGGATAAAACCACGAGAATACGTACAATTTATTAAGGCGTTCTGACTGTAGCTTGTATATTCCTTACGACTTTCAGCAGACATCATCGTACATATAAGCCATCATCATTGATCTCCTGCTGTTATATGATAATTAGTTACAACCTGTCAGTTGGACTGAAATCTGATGACCAATTATGTTATTGTTCATCCATTCCGTCGGTCATTTTATAGTATTTCCATTTATAACTGGACATCCACTTTGTCAATATGCAATGTTCGTTGGATTTATCCGAAAGAAAACTAGAGGGGGTGACACTAAAACTTGGCATTTCATTAATCTATTGAATGATAGCCGTGTTGGTACGTGCAGACTAGCTCGTTAGGGTTCACTCGACTATTGTAACCAGTTATTGAAAACTAGGTGGCGTGCCTCAAAATTGAAGTGAATGATGCAGGTCCATTTACCTTTCCTTTTTTACGTCCTGAGTCCTTAAACTATTTGAAACTTTTCATTACTCCACGAGTTGAAGTTTTCTCGAGCCACATCTATGTCTGATCTTTTTTAATTATTGCTATTACTGTCACTATTTTACCGTTTTAGTATTTGTCTTGACAAATACTCTTTGCGCTTACATGGTGTGGCAACTTAAATCAGTGCCGGCATACGCCAGCTTCAACATTGCTTATAACTGACTTATTTTATACTTGACTTTAAACATTCTATTGGTTAATGTTTAAACCCGAAGTCAAATTAGTTAAATTATTTATACTGTCGTCTTGTATATGTTGGCAAGTTAATATCTATTAAAATTAAAGAGCAGCTGATACTTCAAGTTCACTTCGTTTTCTATTTTTAAAAGTGGTGATGTTTATTATGTATGTTTATTTTTTGTCCGGTCTTTTTTTCGTTACCTTTTTTCGGTTCTACCTCTATTGGGTTGGATATGCTAGCTTTTAGTCATGCAGTTTTGTGTCAGACTCTACATTCCACCCGTCTTATTTTGATATAAATTGGAGTTGCCATAGCCGCTAATTATTTAGAAACTCAACATTAATTCGTTTTCACAGCCATATACTTAAACGAATTGATATTCTTTGTATTTCATAAGTTCTTTATCTTTCTACTTGTCAGTTCTAAAGGTTACCGTTAAACGCAGGAGTACTCGGGGTTTTTTGTATCAAACCGCAGGGTTAATATTATTTATGGCTAGTAAAAAATGTATGCCCTTAATAACTAACTACAAATCAGATGATTCCTCATTGGATGATGGTGATGCTGATTGTGATGATATCTTTAATAGTCTCACAGAGAATAGTCCAAATAATGCTCTTGATGAAGATGATCAGCCATTGGTTAGTTTACAACATAATCATTTCCCCACTGATTTATTCTTTATTTGTATAGTTTTTTGTTGGACTATAATCATTTTTGCTATCATTGCTTTTAACACTCACTAAAATCTCTGGAATTTTACATGAGTCTAGATATGTTTGGTGGTTAAATGCATATCTGAATTTAATCTTTGTGCTTACGTCAAAATCGTTTGCAATGGCGCAGGTGCATCCACTCTCTGTGTTCTCCCAAATTCTAATCTTCTGAATTCTTCATGTCCCTTTTTTCCTCTTTCCAAATTTATTTCACTGGATTATACTCTTTAAATAACATCTCCAAACCCTAATCTTCCCGATTACTGCTTATACTCTTATTACCTCTACCATTATGGGATTTGAATCGACAACTGCATCTCTGTGCTAATGTGGTGTGGCAACTCGAACTGATGTACGTACGTACGAAGTTCTACGTTGTTACTGACTGACTGACGTCAAAACTTTGGATATAAAGTTTATTTGTTTATTTGAACACATAAATATTGGTACAAGGGGGCACCAGATGCATGTGCGCCACTCAATAATAATCAGAGTGGGAAGATATAAAGGATGTCAGGTGCGTGTAAAAAGAAAAAAAAGAACAATAACGACCACAAATTAGTGCATGGTAGTCAAGTAGTAATAATAATGGGGGAAACAGAAAGGTACAACCAGAAATAATTCTTTCAGTTAAAGAAGTTACGGTCACGTTTTGTGAAGCTGACCGACTCGCCATGATCAGTTGTCGATGTTCACAAATCAAAAATCGAAACTAGACATATCTGTTTACTGGTGGTTTTCACTAATTCAAGCTTAGCAAATCTATTATTCTGGAAAGGTAATCCAGTCACTGCTTTTAAAAGGAAATGAGTTGTGTTTTGACATTACAACTTGTTCTTCAGGTTTATATTAAATACTTTAAATACTTTATATTAAATATTTCAAATTCGAAAACCACACAGTAGTAATGTGTTTCTCTCACACTCAGCATCGCTTTCATCCCACCAGTTTCAAGGGTATGGGCAATTTTGGAAGGATAGTTACTTACTTATGCCTGTTACCCACCATGGAGGAGCATAGGCGCTCACCAGTATTCTCCATCCAACTCTGTCCTGGGCAATTCTTTCCAGTTGTTCACAGTTGCTATTCATCCTTTTGATGTCTGCTTTCGATTCTCGGCTCAATATATTCTTGGTCTTTCTTCCGTTTCTATTCAGTACTCCATGTTGAGGCTTGCCTCGAGTTTTGGTTTGATGATTTCTTCAATATGTGTCTTATCCATCTCCATAATCTTTTCCTGATTTCCTCCTCAGCTGGAAGATAGTTTGTTCTCCCCTATAGTAGGATGTTGCTGATGGTACTTGGCCAACGGATAGTGAGTATCTTGTGTAGACAATTGTTTATAAATACTTGTATCTTTTGAATGATGGTTGTGTTAGTTCTCCAAGTTTTAGCTCTGTACAGTATGACTTCGTATGGAAGATTATTTAATGTTGGTTGACAATTGTTTTGAGATCCATATATTCTTCAAATATAGGAATGCTGTCCTTGCTTTGTCAATCCTCGCCTTTACGCCTACATCAGATCCTCCACGTCCATCGGTGATGCTACCCAGATACTTGAAAATTTCCACGTCTTCCAGAGTTCATCCATCAAGTTTGATTAGATTGTTCTCTGTGCTGTATTTGAGGATCTGGTGGTAGAGGTCGGATTGACTCAAACGTTATCGAAATATGTGCTCAGCATGTCTAGATGGATACCTTCTTCGCCCATATATGTAAGGATATAGCATGCTGAGAAACAGGTTGTTTCTGGCTGTAACCACGCGTAAATTTAAACTTAACCTAGTTTTAGAGTAATTACTGGAGCTTGCTTTTAATGAAAATTTGATCGTTATACAAATTAGTTGCCTTCTAGAACTTATTTCCTAAGTACATGTTATTTGTGTCCAACTGAACAACAGGCTTCATTGGTTAAGAATCTCGCGTCATATACTATCTCTGAAAATCTCACTCAGAATCCAAGCGTGACCATTCATCTGAACTTAGCTTGAAGGGTCCGGGAGATTAGCTTTTCTTGAATCTGTCGTTCTTGATTTTCCCTTTTTATAGTCTCGGTGGTGCTAGTATAGTATTAAGTTCGAAGGCCGAATGGAATCTCCCATACTGGATTTCGGTAGGCTTTCAGTTATGCATTGTTATATTGCACCGAATCATAAGGACTCGAAATAATAGGGGCATAATTTAATGTCACTTAGTCGTCCGTTATGTCCTCACTGATTGCAGTTCAAATGAAGAGAAAGATGAGTTTTGCAGAAAGCTTCTTAACCCTCAAAAAGCTAAAATCTCAGACTAAGTAATTCTAGCAGGCGATTTTACTGCTCGAGTACGTATGGTGAATCAAACTGAAATACATTTAAATGACTTTTTAGTGTCACTGCCCAGTGATTGGATGACGGCAACCGTCCGTTACAACTACGAACAGAACCGTTTCTTCTTAGCAATCACCAACTTCAAGAATAAAACGACTATCGTAACCAATGGTCGGAGACTCTTGGTGACATGGCTCAGAATCGATCACGAGGGTGTAGGTGTATACACTTTCTGCCTTCCCTTAAAATAAGAGTTTAAAATCACTTCATATCTTTCTTTCTACGAACTAATTCTTTCTTCCTGTTCTATATCCTTATATGCAATCTTTTATACATTACCACCATTGACCGAACCACTCCTATGAATCCGGTGTTCATCCTGCTGTGCTAATGAGGTATGGCAACTTGAACCGGTGCATATATGTGCCTGGTCCTACGTTGTAGCTGACTGACTGACTTGGTGACATCCGTAATCTCAATGGTAAATGCAAATTAATTATAATTCTTGGTAAAATAATAGAGTCACTCGAATCTCGCATTTTTTGTTTGAGTTGCCGGGAGAATAGCATTAGTTACTGAAATTCAGATGCATCTGGCTTCTTGTGTATATTATGAATAAAACTGTGTCTATCTTGAGTTCTACCAACTCTCAGTGTGAACATACTTCTCCAAGTCCTCGTAATTGACGTTTGTTTTTATTTTTTAAAATTCAAATTCGTATTGAATGATTTATCTCACCTTTTGTTTATTATTTTAGTCTAATTTCCGTCCTCTTCACTCATCACAAAATGATTTTCTAAAAAGTTTGACTGTTATGCAACCATCTAAAAATGATTCCTCTATCGGTTCATTTAAACAACAACTCACATCTACTGAAGACTCAATATTACCAAATATATCTGATTCAGAAGATTCTGATTCTTTCTCATCCAGTACTGATGAGGAGTTCAAGAAATTGGTGGATACTTCTTCTTCATTACCTGTAACTGAAGTAAGATATATACGGGGATTTTTATAAAGTTAAACAAATCACATCTTTTATTTTTACGCATGGTTACCCTCAGTATCAATCAATCCCGTGATTTTTTCCTTTTTCTGTTTGATTGTAATAACGTTTACCTGTACTCCTATGTGTAAGATATGCCAAATTCTTATTACAAGACAATGATGACATACGTCTCTTTAAAATTTCCGTAGTGTTATATCTTAGATATGTATTTATGTGTTAGGTGTTTCATCTAAACACTGACTATCAAACTCTTCACTCAGCCCCATTTATGTGAGATAAATCTTTGTGAAGTGTCTAAAACCCACTAAAGGAACCAAATAACGGTACAGATATTACACATGATTATATTTACACTGTCCTTAGAAATACAATAACTAATGAGCACACTGAAACAAGTTCAAAACAACCGGTTTTAATGAAATATATGATAGTAGGAGGTCAATAAAAACTCAATTTACTCAAAATAAGCTGCTAGAAAATTTTATATATAACGTTATTTTGGAGTGGGCACTCACTTCTCAAAGGTGAAACATACTATTCAGTCTCGGTGGACGTTGAAAGTACACTGGTTGAGTTTGGATGAAGCTTCATAAAACTAGAGAGTATTTCTTTCCTTCATCTAGATCAAATTCAGTAATTAGGAACGTACGATATGGAAAAAAATCACATAGTATCAAGTCACCAGACGACATCAGCTCAACGAGATAAAGTTAAGATGAACAGTGCGATATTAAGCGGAGTAGTACCGATGATAATAAAGGAGATTCAAAATAGACAATATGGCTCGACAAAGATTCGCAACATCGTCAATCGATCAACCATATTCGCCTTGTATCCTACGTCTAACTTTAACATTGATTACTCAGTAGTTCCGAAAAAACTGAGAAATGCTTCGAAGTCGCCTATGATCAAATACTAGTAACCTACAAATATCGTCGGCCTTTAAAACCCACGTTTCACAGCGGTAAATTAGAATTGTACTGCTGCACAGTATACTCACCTCTTGGTTGGCCAACGGACACTTCCCCAACATCACAGGTGACGCAAGTGGGCAAAAACCAAACAAGCTTTTCAAGTCCGCGCCGATGTTTCTGTTACGTTTGACTGAAACCGGTAATTTTGTGATCTTTCACACTTCAGTATTGTTGTGACCACTGCAATATAGCAGTGCCATGTAGATCATACCTTGCATTACGTTGTACGATACTATGTATAAATCGTTTCGTTTATTCAGCTAATTTTATTCTATTCAAGTATTAAAACTTTCAATAATAGCATCAACAACATCACATCTATCCGTAAATATCACATTTGACATTTGATTTTGTCACTCTCAACTTCTATTTAGTGCAAAACCATTTAGAAATGACCAACAAGTTAAGTTGATCAGATCCGATGCGTAAAACATCATAAATTGATTCGTTTTGCTTCTAAGTTTTTTTATTTATTTTGCAGCTCCTTAGGTCCAAACAATTTACACTTATGTATAGCGATAAAAACTATCAAAAAGGCAAATCAGATAGAATAATGTAAGTCTTTTAAACGAGAATACGCTTTAATTTCCCTTGTTGAATAATCTTGCTATTTACTGAGTTATGTAATTTTAGTGCATTCAATCTAGACCAAATACTTGTCTTTGTACTTAATTTTGGGCCAAACTGCTCAAGAGTTAGTAGTCCTATCCGACTGCTCAAACTGAAATAGGTTGAACAAGGTTCTGACTTTTTACCTACCAGTTAAAAGTCAGACATTTTTGATCATTAATTCATTTTCTATCATTATTATTATTCGGACACGAAAACATTGGTACAAGGAGGCACCTAATAGATATGCGCCACATAAATCATTCGATTTGTGTAAGGTCTGAGATACTAGCCGGGTGCCCAAATCAAAGCAAGTGGTTTTTTTAGGGGGCCACACCTGGAGCCTTCGACCTAGAGATCTGATCCGCAAGGCAGTGGGGCAACGTCGAGAGATGCAGTCCCATGGTAGCCGGTGACAAACGATTGGTTCATGCGCCATTTGTTCCTTCAGGATACTGGAGTCCATGTGCACCATTGGTTTGGAATCGGGTTTTTCCAACTCCTCTAGGTGGATGCTTCGTGTCAACCAACCCAGTTGCAGCGCCGGACATTCGCCTTTCGTCCTTTCAATTTTGTAAAGAGCAGTAATGCCGCTAAAAGGGAGTGAGTAGGACTTCCCTGGCAGTAGTTGTATGCACGTGACTATGTGAGAGCACTTCGATATGGAGAACTGATTCTCTCCATTCTCGACCGTATCAGGGCATTTTTTCTCTTTATCACAGACCGGATTCTATTTTTTAAATTGTTTGTTATTAAATTGAGTCTCATTTTTCTTACAGTTTAGTTTGTTAAAAACCGTGTTTTTAAAGAGGTGCTTTCACTGGTTCTTGTTTACAAGTGAATTTATGGTTTGGTTTAATGAAATATATGTGTGTGGTGGCCTCTCTTCATTACCGACATTTCAACCTTATAGTTACAATAAACTAATTAAAAAAATTCGTGACTGCACATACTTTATTGAGTCAGTGTGCAGATATCGATCGAAAAAGAGGTAGCACTGATATCGACTAACCAAGACTAAAAAAACTGAATAGACTTGTAAAAATTGTTACTTGTCGGATGGTGATTTGATAAACCATTTATAAAGGGCGAGATGAATTATAAAAGGTAAGAAGATGAAGAAAAATTGAATTTTCCACGAATTTATTATCCACTTTGTGCGTTATATAAGCTTTAATAACGAATTAAAGAGAGAATTATATTTGTAAAAATCCCAGCAATTAGAATTACCAATAGCTTCAACGTTTCACTCGGCAATCTGTTATGGAACTAGTCAAATGTCAAAATTATTGGTTACAGATATTGGTTATGAAATAACTATGTGCTGGTGGGCGGCCTGTGCTCCTCCACGAGGAATAACAGGCGTAAGTAAGTGAACGATAATCGAATTATGCTAAAATGTTAAATATAGATTTTTTTTGGAAATGAGCTTGTCGGTGTTGGGTAGATCTTAGTTATTTCTTGAAAAAGTTCAGAGGGGCCCTAAAAATAATGGGAAACATTTTATCCAATCAGCATTGATTATAAGTTTCTCAGAAATACTTAGAAAGTGAAGAGTGACGTGTCACATTTCTAATTAGATGATTACTGATCCTGCTGCTATGTTTAGTATGGTTCTGGAACGTTCCGAGAGCTCAAAGCCATATGAATTATTATAAATACCCTTGATTTTCTATACATAAATTAACCTTTTCACACTTAGCGGCTTTTCTGTTGTGTATCACTCACAGTCAAATCAATTAAGACGAAGCTGTCAAATTATTTGGATATCGTATCCTTTGGTTACAGCCTTTATTTTTCAAGATATTCGACAGATTATTCACTTCTAATTGTGCATATACTGTTTGTTTAAAATAAAACTGATTGTTTAGGATAACTTAGCTTCCCGCAATCGATCAGTTAAAGACAAAATTGATCAAGAAGATCGTTTGGAGTAAATAATTTTTTTCTAAAAATTTTTTAGCATATCTGTTATTCATTAATAGTCTGTCAATAGTTTCTCCTGTTAATTATGTCAATCAGTATGTTCATTCATGTATATACATACACATTATCATTCATATTGTCAATGTTGTACACAAACTCTATTATAGAAATATAGGTTATTCACAATTTTTTCAAGAAATTCAATCGGCTATAAAATATGAACAACCTAATGCAAGTTTCCATGATATATGTCAATTAGTTGATGAACGCTGGAATCAATTATCAAAAATCGAGAAAAAAGTAAGTCATACAGATTGTTAGTAACTTGTTTGTTGTCATCCGTTTTTTTTTTTCTTTTTTTGTGTGACTTAAACAAAGAAACATGATATTCTGATTTTACTGTCATTCATTCAAAGTTTATGTTATAACGTGTGCCCTGTTAATGTTATAATGCCAATTAAAGAACAGTGAATTATCGAGCGCTTAACCATTAGATTTCAATTATTTCAACTATTGAAATTACTAAAATCTCCATAAAACCTCTTCTGATAATAATCATCTGCTCACTAGTGACTGACTTCAAGAGGTATTTCCTGGAGTTCTAATGAGAAGCCGTGACCAGTGGAGTTCAATCGGATCTGTTGTGAAATATCAACTCACTGAAAATATTGGTGTACGATGGCACAATTTCGTGGATTAGTTGAAGTTAAACATTAACATCGTTGGATGCCGGCCAGCTCAGTGGTCTAGAGGTTAAGCGTTCGTGCGCGAAACTGATAGGTTGTGGGTTCGAATCTCGCGAGGGGCGGGATGGTGGATGCGCACTGCTGAGGAGCCACATACTAGGACGAAACGGCCCTCCAGTGCTTCCAGGTTTTCCGTAGAGATCTAGCTCCCATTGATGCATGATTTCAACTATTGAAATAAAAATATAGTCCAATGGGTTTCAAATCTCATAACGTGAAAGGCACGTTCACAAAATTATAATTTATTCAGTAAGTGATATGATTGCGTAAAAATGTCAATAATTTAATGTCATCATGAACAAAAATAATAATTCCACGTTACGTGATAATGTGACATGAATTGTATTAATGAGAGTATGATAATTCATTGAATCATAATGGAATAATGTGAAGAGTTGATATGAGTATAAAGTATCGATAAGATAATACGATTTGAGCATAGTCTATGACATTAAATACTCGAACTTATATGTCTAATTTCATGTAATCCTTTTTAAGATGAAACAATCGTCCAGTACTTTCAGGTTTTCAATGGATTAATAATCTCAACTATTGTAATCCCTTTTTTAATTAACGCTAGAAATATACGTGTATGTACACACACACACACACATGGTGATCTATATTGATTTTCTCTCAGATATTAAAGAGTTACACAATTTCTAATTTATTCAATGATAGAAATAGATTATCGTTTTATTTGTTTAATAATTTCAGGAGTACAAGAAACATTCTGTAGGATCAATGGAATCACAAAAGATGACCTCTTTATCAAAATGTAGATCAAAACTGCTCAGTTTAGTAAGTCATCTATGTTTAATACTTATATATATATATGTGACACATTACCTATTCAAGTAATATCACTAAATGAAATATCCTGCTCACTTATTTTCCAACTATGCAAGTATTTCGGTAAAATTTCCCGTTTTAGATTTGTTTGAACTAAATAATTATGAATATCAACCGTATATATACCCACATTTTTTAGGGGGAAAAGCTTAGAAACTATCGCGATGCTAAACACTCGACAATTCGATGGTTGTAGGTCAGATGATGGTGAGTACCTTTCACAACTCTGTGCAGACCACAATCTATATCAATTCATGACTAACCTTTGTCAAAGTTTTTAATGACGGCGTCCACCTTCTGCATCTTAGACCCTCACCTAGATTTATCACATTGCAATCAGCTGCTACAAGCGTGAGTGTGTACAAAACTACCACTTTTTGCAGTGTACCTATTTGATTCTGACCATCCTGTATCTTGTATTTTAGTGCCTATCAAACTTATCGTTTTTAAGGAATCTGTATGAGCGAATGGGCTTCACCATCCTTTGGAACCAAATGTCAAATCGACTTAAGCTTAGAGTTAGTTATCAGTCCACCGAAAAGTATAGACAACCATCGGCTGGGTTTGCATGATACCAAAAAAAAAATGATGAATGAAATCTCTTCAGGCTCCGCGAAACCTCCTTCTTCTAGGCATCGGGTATATTACAGGTTCTCTACATCTCCTTTAGGGACCCCATTCTTTGGTGACTCGCGATTCGGTGATACTCGTAAATTCTTATTTTAGAAAACTTCACAAAGCTTGCTTAAAGACAGATCTAGAGGTCACTGAGTGCTAACGAATTACACGGAGTAGTTGCATCTGGTAACTGCCGGAAGCTGTTTCAACCTATCGGAGATACTAAAAGTAAGAAGTCTTTTGTCAATGAGATAATCTGTACAGTTGATGTCACACCAGTTAGTAACCTCCATATGATCTTGAAACTAAAGCAAGGACTCCATCATTACTCCAGCCAATCTGATTCCATTATACTGTGTTACTTGTTCGGTTATTTTCAATCTGCTTGACAAAGCAATGGTTCTTAAGGAATTCCAACTTATTAAGCGTCACAAGTTGTTAAACCTAAAAGACCTGCTCCTTGGCCTCTTTAATAACATGGAGAAATTTTAACCAAGGAACGAAGAGTCTTCCGTCATCTTGAATTGAAATGATCGTTTATTCCGCTTTTTGAAAGCATCTACTTAAGTAGTGTGATTATTATCGGGGTAAAATTTTTCTGTCCAAACTATTGTCTTTTGTCATACTCCTCAGATTGTAAAAAATCCTTGACTGGCTCGTGAGAAGCAGACGAAGTATCGATAACAGTTCACTCAGTACCACCATCTTGAAATACTTACTTCAGTGACCTGATCATGTTTTATGAATTTAATTCCAGAGATACCCACCAAAGGCATTATTTACGGAGGAGGTAGTTAGTTAATTACTTGGTTCTGTGCTATGAATGGTGAGTGTATCACGAGCCACTGATTGAGGTCCTAGAAATGGTTCAACTCAGTAGTTTCAGCCGTTGTCAAGCGTGGTTCAGAAGAGGAAGATATAGTGGTCCTGCTGTAGCTTCCCATCAGATTCATAATAAAATTTTAATGGATGTCCTTAACCGAATGAAGTATTTCTTGGTTGTATTTCTGCCTGAAATGTGTCTTTGAACATATGTACCTTTTCATTAGCGTTTTGATTATACTATCCTTTTCTTTTTTATTTCTTCATAACATTGTCTCTTCATTTGTGTGATACATTTTTACTCTTGATCTATTTTATGTCTTGTATAAGATGAAACTGGAAAATGCAAGTGATTAGCAGTGGAATACATCCATTCAATCTGTAGTAGATGACCAGATCGGTTGTAGCAAGTGAAATGTTAAAATCTTCCGCGATTGAAGATAAGATGCCAGATACCCACTGTTGAAAAGCCATTTATAAAATACACTTGATTAGTAACAATTGAAATGTTTGTTTATTTGAACAGATAAATATTGGTACAAAGAGGCACCGAAGTCACTTGATTTGTGTGTGACTGTGATACTGGCCGGGTGCCCAAATCAAAGCAGGTGGTTTTCTTAGGAGGCCACACCTGGAGCCTTCGACTTAAAGATCTGATCCACAAGGCAGTGGAGCAACGTCGAGAGATGCAGTCCCATGGTAGCCGGTGACAAACGATTGGTTCATACGCCATTTGTTCCTTCAGGATACTGGAGTTCATGTGCACCATTGGTTTAGAATCGAGTTTTTCCAACTCCCTTAGGTAGACTCTCCATACCCACCAACCCGTTTAAAGCGCCGAACATTCTCTTTTCGTCCTTTTAATTTCGTAAAGAGCAGTAATGCCGCTAAAATGCAGTGAGTAGGATTTCCGTGGGAGTGTCTCTAATCACTGGCTAACTCTCCCCACCTTCGGCCGTTCCAGGGCAGTTGGATGAAATTTATTTTAATATTGCATTATTGATGCGGAGAGAATTCCTTGGTGTAACAAAAATTATACTAATGAATAATCAAACAAGTCTGATTGTTTGTATAGGTTTGTGGAGATTTTTGAGTTTTAATTGAGATCAATGTTAGTAGACCACTATTAGAAACCTAGAAACACTGGACGGCCGCGTTGTTCTAGTATGGGACTCGTGAGCAGTGCGCATCCACAATCCCACACACGGGACTGAAAACGAGCATCTGGGTAATAACTAATATTAACATATCTTGTGAAACTTTGGCATACGCGAAAATATTCAATTAAAATACTAGTCAGATGGTTAATCCTCTAAATTTGGAATTAACCTTAGGGTTTAGTTAGTGTCATAGTGTTTTTTTAAAAAAAATAGCTTACTAATCTTCTTTCTCACTGTTTGCTTAATCTGTGTATGGAAAATACGTTCTAGCACAAATGAAGATATTATCACTTGGAAAGTTACTCAAAATTCACAGGTTTATAGAATGAACGATTAATATTCTCAGTTTCAATGAAGTTATATTGATCTCTCTCTGTCTCTCTCTTTGTCTCTGAGTAATAGTTTTACTAACCATGACTTGATACACTTCTGGTAGTAACACTGTTTTCATGTGAAATGTTGTACTTTCAGTTTAAAAGTAGATTTACATCTTTTTATTATTTTGAAAAAAAAATTTACATTTAGTTAAGCGAAGACAATAAACAATGCTGTAATCCCACGTGTAAAAATCCAGTTTCCTATGATCCTCGTTGGAATGGTCAGTATTGTTCAACCAAATGTGTTGGAGAACATTGTCAATTAACCTTTATTGATTGGTGTAATAATAAACGTTATGATGGGAAGGTAAATGTCTTATCTAAACTACCAATTGTTGTACCCTTACTAGACCATTTGTTTACTAAATAAATATTTATAATAATGCTAATTTGTGTGATACATTTTTGATTAGTATCAGAAGGGGTTTTGTGGGGATTGTAGTTATTTCAGTGGTTAAGATCGTGAGTCATTTAAAGTTAGACCACCATGAAAAACATGGAAGCACTGGACGACCGTTTCGTCCCAGTGTGGGACGCCTCAACAGTGCACATCCATGATCTTGTCTCGCGAGATTCGAACCGAGGACTTATCAGTCTCTCACGCGAATGCTTAACCTCCAGACCACTGAGCTGACTGGCATCCAATGGTGTTAATGTTTAACTTCAACTAATCCACGAAATTGAGCGACACATCCACCCTTACTACCAATGAGTTACTATCTCACAACTGACCCGATTGAACTCCACTGGTCACTGTTTCTCACTAGAACTTCAGGATATACATCTTGAAGTCAGTCACTAGTGAGCATATGTTGATTAATATGAGAAGGGGTTTTTGTAGGTATTATAGTAATTTCAATCATTGAGATCATTCAAAGTCTTATCACTGTTTTTCAACTTATAAGATCTATCATTAACTTAATTGGTTTTCAATTCTATCCAGGCATTTGTTTTATGTGCCAATATAGTGATAATAATAATAATAATAAATATTTCTTTATCAGAATGGGTGTTTTGTGGAGATTTTTAGAAATTTCACTTACTGAGGAGTCCCATACTAGGACGAAAGGGCCATCCAGTGCTTTCAGGTTTTCCATGGTAGTCTAGCTTCAATTGACTCATGATTTCAACAAGTGAAGTGTTTCTTTATTATGTTGTTTGTTAATTTAGAAATATTCATTACATAATCTATCCATTGTAATATTGACAATATCATTTACACTCAAACTGTATATTTTGTATACATTTTTAGATTTTAAATGATACTTTATATACAGTTCAAAGGATTCCAGTTATGTCTCCTGTTGAAACAAATATGATGAGTATAAAATCTTCTACACATAAGAATGATAATACTATTATCAATACTTCCATCAACATTACTACTATGACTACTACTGCTACTACTACTACTAGTGGTACTACTGATAATAATAATAATAATAGAGATATTATGATTGATTCATCCGATTGTGTTTCAGTTAGCTTAAAAAGAAAACCTTTATTTGAATCATTAAGATCTGAACAATTTAATACTCAATCAGTTTTAATTAGATCATCAAATACTTCAAGTCCATCTTCTACAGGACCAACATCAAATTTAACTTTATCTTTATGAATAATAGAATAATAATAATAAATTAATAAACCTTTGAATTTGTTCTTCACCTTCCCTGTCTCCTTCCCTCCCTCCTTCGCTCTCTCTCTCTCTCTCTCTCGTAAACTTACTTATTTTGTAATCAGTGTGATGTGATGTGATGTGATGTGATGTGATGTGATGTGATGTGTATTTTGGTTTTCGATGTGTTGATTGATTGTAAGATGGTGTAGTAGTTTTAGTCAATGTTTGTTATATTTGTATTTGGTTATTTGTAGTAGTTGAGTGTTGTTGTAATTATATTGATGGTTTGTGAATTTGTTTGTTTGTTTGTTAGTTTGTGTGAGTTTGAGTGTGAGTGTGAATGTGAATGTGGTGTATGTGTAATTGTTTAGCCTGTAGATCTATTAGTTGCGCCCTATAATGATAGGGTGTTTGATCGTGGCTGATATTGATGTTGTTGAGCAACGGTGTCATTCGTTGTGGAATGCCGCCTACGAGAGACAATGACATTGGTGTTTGTTGGTGGTTGAGTGATTGGTGGTATAGTTATAATATTAGTGGTTGTATTTGTGTGTTGTGATTTAGTCAATGATAATGTGATAATTGAGTGAATTGATGTCATGTGATGTGATGTGATGTGATGTGATGTGTATTTTGGTTTTCGATGTGTTGATTGATTGTAAGATGGTGTAGTAGTTTTAGTCAATGTTTGTTATATTTGTATTTGGTTATTTGTAGTAGTTGAGTGTTGTTGTAATTATATTGATGGTTTGTGAATTTGTTTGTTTGTTTGTTTGTTAGTTAGTTTGTGTGAGTTTGAGTGTGAGTGTGAATGTGAATGTGGTGTATGTGTAATTGTTTAGCCTGTAGATCTATTAGTTGCGCCCTATAATGATATTGTGTTTGATCGTGGCTGATATTGATGTTGTTGAGCAACGGTGTCATTCGTTGTGGAATGCCGCCTACGAGAGACAATGACATTGGTGTTTGTTGGTGGTTGAGTGATTGGTTGTATAGTTATAATATTAGTGGTTGTATTTGTGTGTTGTGATTTAGTCAATGATAATGTGATAATTGAGTGAATTGATGTCATGTGATGTGATGTGATGTGATGTGTATTTTGGTTTTCGATGTGTTGATTGATTGTGGGATGGTGTAGTAGTTTTAGTCAATGTTTGTTATATTTGTATTTGGTTATTTGTAGTAGTTGAGTGTTGTTGTAATTATATTGATGGTTTGTGAATTTGTTTTCTTTTTGAGAGGTGTGATATATTTTTCGTAGTTTTGTTGGATTTCTTATTCGATATTTGCTTGCCCTTGTGTTTGCGTGATACGCTGATCTTTCTTCTTTTTCTCTTAGGGTATGTCGTTAGTTTATGTGCTGCGTATGAATGTCTCTGGTAGGTGATAACCTTATTCGTTTTGCATTCTGATATGCGATTCATTTTTTGGTGTAAGTTTATTTTGTATGCCCTATTTATCATAATATCGTCTAAATAATCCGGCCCTTCTTAAATTCATCGGTATTCTTAATTAGCTGGAGAATAGTGGGCGCTTTCTATACTTTAGTTGAAATCGTTTTTATCGGATCAGACCGTTGTGCGTGTTGACCTTTATGATATCTTCACTTTCATCAGATACAAGGAATTGTAAATATGAGTGTGATATGTCCAATTTCGCAATGTACCTGCCCCCGTTCAGATTGGCGATGAGATGTTCGTTTAAGGCTGAAGGATACTTGTTAGACTCTAGAGCTTCACTTAGTCCGATTTGGTAATCTGTACATAGGCGAACATTTACATTTATCTTCTTGACGACCACTACTAGTGCGGCCCAGTCTGAGTTTACAAGTTCAATAACATCCATTTTCTTAAGCCGTTCTTATTCCTGTTCAACTATTGGAAGGGCAGCATAGGGATACAGGCCTTTTCGGTCGAAAGACGGGATTAGCTTCAGGTTTGAGTGTTAACAATGCTTTGGCCTTAGTACATTCTCTTAATCCTTCTTTAAACAAGTGGTGTCTTTTTATCACGGCATATTTTCTGGTCCCACTGTTAGGGGTTATCAGTTTTGATCTGTCTGGAGATGGCGTTGATAGAATTGTCTACTAGTTTAAATGTCTCTATAAGATCTAACCTCAATAAGTTGAGTGTTGGATATACTGTTGTATTCGTTGTCACAGGACCTTTAGAATGATGTAGGGTACTTATCCGACAATATTTAACTTCCCATTAGATGCACTGTGTTCTAGTTGTGTTGTTAGATGAACTGTAGGTCTCCCAATTTTCTTCCGAGTTTCTGGGCTGATTAGGGTAATATCGGATGCTGTATCAAGTTGAAGGCGAGTACGGTGTTTATTGATATCCAGAGCTAAACACTTTCTTTGACGGTAAATTCGTGGTCGGTTATGCGATAACAATATTTTGTTAGTTAACGTACCAGATCTGTATCTCTTGAAATAGGATTTCATATTAATCTATGATTTATGTTTAGGGTAAAATTTCGAACAAATCTACTATTCAATCTGCTGTTATGATTGTCGACTCGATTTGTATGCGTTCGATGAATATTATGACTTAATGTATTGGTTATTGCCCATTAATCGTTTTTCATATCCTGACTATAATTTATCAGTCCTATTAATAGTGTAGCTGAACTAATCGATAATCGACCTAGACAGAAGTCATCCATTTGTCTTCTTGTCATTTACATCCTGACCACTTGGGACCTAGTTCAATTGAAGAATATCCATATTTTGTTCATGTTCTAACATAACAGATGATAAGCTACGTTCAATGATACTGTTATAAAATCTACGTTATTCCAATTGTTTAAAATGAGTTACTTTCAGTGAGTTTCTTCAATGAATATGATCCACTTCAGCTACAAATCTTTTTCACCATCTAGATGATTTCCAGATGGATTATTTCTTATTAAAAAAAAAAGGTAGATCATTTTTGTTATCTTCAATTTTATTTATGAATGAAACAATTTAGAAAAAGAAAAAGAAGAAAACAATGATGGAAATGATCACCATAAAAAATAAATAGTGAACTATACTCAAAAGTATTTGTACAGTAGTAGTAGTAGTAATAGTAGTGGTAGTAACGAAAAATATACGTGTGTGTGTGTGTGTTTTATATCCATTCTCCAATATACAAATGATTCCTTTAAAATTCTAAGATGAAAACAATATGACATTCAGATCATAAGAAATCATGTGACTGGATAGAAGGGGGGGGAGGAATAAACAACTAGCACAATCACAACTTGGAATAATAAAAGTGGAAATTGTTTCTATGATAATTATACTACTTGATATTCTTATTAGTAGACAATAATCATATATAAAAACGGATTATTTCTTTTTTAAGGATAGAAAGACTTAGCTCTATACATGAGAGAATAAAAAGTGCACACCTCATATACAACGGGGATAATTAATATCTAACAATTTTGTTGTTGCCTTGGCTTCCTATAAATTGTAGATTGTTGAAATATTTTGCTTTGATGTTGCCATTTCAGATAATTCCACTGATGATTTATTAGTGTCATGAATTGAACACTGCTGTTCCACCATTATAGGAGTATCGGAATGATTGACGTCATTATGTGATTTAGTTTCAGTAGTTGACTCTGACGTTTGTGCATATAAAACTATTAAAAAATCAAGAAATATGTAATCAAGTTAAAGTACTATTGTGATTGGGTAATTGGGAATATGAACGACATACAATAAATATATATATTTAATGATCATAATTTAAACAATCTTCATTTAAATCCTAGAAACAGACTGCCTAGAAATGCCATGGTACGGTCGAGAGTGGGAAGAATCAGCTATCCCTCTCGTAATGCTTTCACATGGCCACGCGCATACAACCACTGCCAAGGAAGACCTAATCACTGCCTTCCCGTAGTATTACTGTTGTTTACGCAATTGAAAGAATGAAAAGCGAATGTTCGGTGCTTTAACCGAGTCGGTAGACACGGAGAGTAAACACAGGAGAGTTGGGAAACCCTCATTCCAAATAAAGGGTCCATATGGGTTCCAGGATCCTGAAGGAACAAATCGCGTATGAACCAATCGTTGGTGACCCGCCAGCATGAGACTGCATCTCCTGATGTTGTTCCACTGCTTTGTGTGTTAAACTGTTAGGTCAAAGGCTCCGGGTGTGGCTCCCTAAGAAAACCACTTGTTTTAGTCTAGGCATCCGGGCAGTATCTCAGCCCTCACACTAATCGTATGATTTATGTGGCGCATATCTATTTGTTGCCTCCTTGTACCAATGTTTATGCGTTTAAATAAATAAAAACATATTAACGTTTTCCTTGAATTCCTTTTCAAGGCAAAACACCACTTCTTTGATATCACGTGCCGATGCAACTCAGACAATCATCGAAAAGCAGGAAACACTGGAGAGCAGTTTTGTTCAAATATAGAACTACTCAGTAGTGAGTATTCACGACATCCTACCGGGAATCAAACCAATGACCTTCAGGTCTTGCCTTCCGATCACTAAACCGGCATCCAACATCGTGTAACAACAATAGTCTTTTATACTGAAGAAAATAGTTGACAACATAAAAATATGTTGTTATAAACACAGATATATTTTATTCTCTAGTACCCTGGGACTAGAGGTCTTTCGAACTATGTATATTTTCACTAAAAGTACTTACCTTCATTAACTGCATTTACATTATCGTTATTCATTGACGATTCATGAGTGAGTTCATTATCAGGTCCAGTTATAACTGGTGGATCATTTGAATCAGTATTAACATTAGTCATATTTGTTTCTGGTGAATTATTTGGAAATAATTGTTCTAATAATTCAGGAAGAAAACTTGATAAATGTTTTTCAGTTAATTTCCATAGAATAGCTGAATTTGAATTTGGATTAGAATCTTTAATTAGAATTGGATTGAGATCATGTGTTCCAGTGCACATAACTAATAACACATTCTTTAATGATTCACGTACAGCATCGGTCTTTAATTAGAACAATAATGTTATCAATTTAAAGATTTTTCAAGTTAAATGATAGTAATCTATAAATCTAATGTTTAACAATGTGGATCGGATGTGCTCATCAGATCTAAACTAGTTTGACAT